ATATATATATATATAAACTGCATAAAATTTGCAAATTTGTTAATGTTACTGCTGCTATTTCTTATCAAGAAGCTTCATCTCAATTTGCACATTGTTACTGTTACTGCTGCTATTATTATTATGCAGTTGCACTCAAATTGCTAAAGGTTACTGTTTTATTATTTTGCACATAAGTCAATATTGCACACTTGCACATACAGATGTACATAGTCTATATTTCTACTTCTGTAACACAGCTGTACTTTTATTATCTTTGTGTGTTTTTAGTTTTTACATAGTTTGCACTATGCAATTTAATTGTACAGCGGAACTTGTTTTTCCTCACTGTGCACATGATAATAAATGCTTTGAATCTCGAATCGCACAATTATTTTATCCACTCTGGGCGACTCAACTTACCCCACTCTCCCTTTTTTCACTAAACAAATCATGAATACAAAGAAATAACTTCAGTGTGAATAAAGAGAGTGCAATTTTAAAGAAGCAACATACTGGGTGAATTAATTAGATGAATAATTTATTTAGAACTCTTTGAATATCATTACATATTCAGACCACAGAGAACTAGTCATTAATTTACTTTAGCAAGGGAGACATTGATATTCTTGTGCACATCGACAACAGTATATATACATTGTAGAATAGGGGAAATTGGGGAATGTTCCTGACATAATCTTCGTCCTGCATTGAGAATTTTAACTTTGCGCTAAAACACAGACTTGCTTGTTTTACATCTTCACAGCTCATTCTGTGCAAAAATAAATGAATTACTCATATTACAGGTGTTTGCAATAATTTTTGCAACTACAGAAGCCAGATTCGGTGAAATAGGTTGGATTCATGGCAACATTTCAGTTTTTTTTGAGGAAATGCAAATTATGTCAATTAGAAAGCCAGCCTTGTAAACAGTCAGTACCACTACTCCATCTCAATAAATAAAGCCCATGCCTAATATTGCCGCACTAAACGTTGGCATATTTACACAACGGATTTACATAATCATTTACTAAACTCATTTACGGTTTGAGAACAAGATGATAAAACATTTGTGATACACTTTCACGTTTTTCCTCTTTCGTCTACAACTTATTATCTGTACAAGTGTCAGAATTCACAACAGTCAGACAGCTAATAATGTACAGTGCATAGAGATCACCATGCCTTCATTTAACAAGCACTCCAATAGACTTTATGACACAGAAACAAAGAAGCTGCCATCATCTGTCATGATGAAGGTGATGATTTTTACGCGTCGTTTCATCAAGCGGTATGGCACACCAAATATATATCTTTGATCCTTTGAAAAAAGTCCTTGGTCTAGTCACTCTGACTGATTTCTTATGACAGTCATCTTCATTTCTCCCGGTCTGTAATAGTTTCTCTGCTGTTGCACTGATGTGCAACCAATTAATATGCTTTATAAAACATTCATATTTATAAACATCATTGTGTGTGATTTAATAAGTGCAGGACTGGATGTTTAAACTGTGGGGTTTGGAGGAAAACGAACAGAAACAAGTCAGAAATAAATGATACAGGCAAAAAAGTTTTTCTATGTGAATATCAAAGGTCTTACCTTATAAATAATTCAAGAGATCTAAATAATAAATATTCAAACCGCACTCAGAAATGATCGCAGATAAAAAGAAATACAAAAAAACGAGCAATAAAAAATAATTTAAAAATAATATACAATTTAATACGGCTCAAGGGTTGTGCATTTCAAAAATTACATAACAATAATCATAATAATTAATTGTGACCCTCTCTGTGAAATCCAGGCTAAAGTCTCAAAATCTAATTATGAGATAACAAGCATCAAAGTTTGATTTCAACCATTAATTTCACTATGATTTCAATCTTTGACATGGCCTTACTCAGTCAATATTAAAGATATAATTGTTATATTTTCACAGAGTGTTCTACATCTTTATGAAGGATGATTTTATGTAGAAAACAGCAAATCACACAAAAAAAAAACTTTACATTTACATTTAGTCATTTTGCAGACGCTTTTATCCAAAGCGACTTACAGTTGGGGAATACATAAAGCGATTCTTCTTAAAGAGGCAAACAGTCACAGGAAGTGCTCGTAATACCAAGTTTTAGGCATTGTTCAAATAAGTACAAGCTAGAAAGGGAAGGAATCAATAAAGAGAAAGATTTTTATTTTTTTATTTTTTTTTTTTAAAGATGAAGTCAAGTAGCGTTTAAAGAGATGAGTTTTCAGCTGTCGCTTGAAAATTGTCAGGGATTCAGCATTCCGGATAGGAGTGGGAAGATCATTCCACCAGCCAGGAACGGTGAACGAGAATGTTCTGGAAAGTGATTTTGAGCCTCTCTGTGACGGTACCACGAGGCGTCGCTCACTAGCGGATCTCAGACTTTAGCTGTGTTTTCACAGGCAGGGTCACAATTATAGCAGTGCTTTGAATCTCAGAAACAACAGGACGGGGAAAATTTACCTTTTCTTTGTTCACTCAGACGCAGCCTCGAGTCCTACAGATACAAATATCTTTCTATCTCTTGAGGTCTGCAAGATTAATATGTATGTTAATGTATTTGGTAACGCCTGGACCCGCAAAACGGTTCCCACCAGTGGAGCACATCCGCTGCGTTTTGATTGTCCACCACCACCATCATCACCATCTCCATCACAGCCAGTGACATTTGAATTGTTTTCCAGTTCAACAGAAGATAAATAAAGCTGGCATTTGGGCTGATGGGGTGTGCGTTTGCCAGTGGGGCCGATTCGGATGGCACATTTTTCAAAGGTGTGGGCAACACAGAAGCAGCTGTTATGGAAGCAATAAATCTTTCTCCTCAAGCGCTTCTGACATCTCCTATAAAAAAGAGAAACACTAGAAAAATACGATAGATTCAAACATGGGTTTTTACGGTCAAGGCTATGAGCGTCTGGTGAGTGACCCTGCACTTCCTTTTATCTACCACGCCGGTTTTGATAAACGACTAACAATATCCTCTCACCTATGAGCAAAACAAGGAATAGCAGAACTCACAGATTGAATTTCCCGGTCCGGTCTTTCCTACAACAGCAGGCTTTGTGATTGATTGACAAGTTTTCCTTTGAACGGGATGGATGAAAGCACACAGTTTAGTACACAACAATATGGAAAGCTTCAGTCTTATCTGACACTGAACAGATGATCCTGTCACTGCCTGGTGTTCCACATCTAAGCACAGCATGTTCTCAGCGCCGCTCCATTTCACTTCCAGTTACAGTGAGATGTGGTCCTGGGATTGTGCTGTAGCTCAGCATTCTGGCATCTGGTTCTTCTGTAAATTAGCGACGGGCTCTGCTGTAGCTCACTACTGAGTCATAGCTTCTGCTCCGACTGCGACTGCGTCTGCTGTACATAGAGTTCCACGACGAGCTGCGACTGTAGCTCCTGTATGACGAGTAAGTGTGACTGCGACTGCGGCTGCGACTCCGTGAACGGCTGCGACTGAGAGTAAACAGACGCCAGGACAAGAGGCTGGAGGATCGGCTGCTGACGGAGGGACTGGGACGGTAGTAGGGGACCGGCCTCTTTCTGGCACTGTGCAGGAAAGAGAATACAAACAATGACATGTTAATACATCATTCTGAATGGGGAAAATGTCACAAAGTAGCTGAAGTTGTCCGCACACTGAGAACATATAATCCGACCAAATAAGGTATATAAAAAATATATTTTATTTTCCATATGCAAAAGTGAAAAAGTCAAGAGACAAAAAAAAAAAAAAAAA